TAAATGTTTAAAAAAAAAAAATGAAATGAAAAGTTTGGGGCTGGAGAAATGGCTCAGTAGGATAAGCGCTTGACTGGCAAACGCACGGATCTTAGTTCAATCCCTGGTTCCGCCAAAAAAAAAAAAAAAAAAAAGAGAGAAAAGTTTATGTATCTGAGATCTGAGTAGTGGAATAGAACTTAGGACCTTGCCTTTGCCAGGCAGGCACTTATGCCCTGGCCCTATACTTTCTCTTTCTTTTGGACTTAGTCTTCTTAGGGCTGCGGATATAGCTCAGCAGCATAAATGTCTGGCTGGCAAGTGCAAAGTCTTGTATTTGATCCCTAGGTACCACAAACAAAAAAAAAAAGTCTTCTTTTTATGAGAGTCTATCACTAGTAATATATACAAATGGAAAAAATATCTGGAGAAACAATATTGTTTGTTCTAAGTGATAATCAGCAGCAGTAGTACAATCAATCATAAGCTAACATCTACTGAGAACCAATTATATTTTAAGCATTTTTTTTTCTAATGCCGGGGCTCAAACCCAGGGCTTTATGCTGTTGTACACCACTAGCTATGCCACCCCCACCCCCAGGCCTGTTCTGTTAAGCACTATTCTAATAGAAGCATTAACTCTTCCTGACCCCCTTAACAGCCTCATGAAGTACATACTCTATCTCTAGTTATAAGTGAAGAAACAAGCATCTGGTTGCTAACTGGTATAGCAAGCAGGCAGGGAATCCTCCTCTGGGGCCTGTACTCTTAACCTCTATGCTATAAAGATGATTCTTGTAAAAACAAAAGAAGCCCAAGATCACTAGACTGAGAAAAAAGGATGATTTACTTCTGTTAGACAGGGTTCAGCTGAGGTTTTCATACATATTTACACATTTACCTAGGCTCCCCTCTGCTCCTTCCACAAAGATACCAGTCATATATGGCAACACCCAGTAGCGGCGTTTGTATCGATCTTGCCCCAGTGAGACTGCACGAAGCATCTGGGTTGAGTGCAGTAGTTTTTTGCGAAAGAAGAGCTGACGCTGCATAGGCAGTAGAAAAAGAAGATAATTTAAAAACACATTCCTAGACTGATAGTAGTGAAATCATTTAGTATATGGGAGAAAGCACAAGCTCTCAGCTCTCTTACAGAACTGATACCCAGCTGAGAAGGCGATCATTTGTTGCCCAGCTCACACCTCTAACTCCTGGGAGACCAGATGTACAGTACCTTACTGAGTTTTTCTATGTGACGCTCTAACTCCGGGATGCTAGATGCTACAGCATCAACCTACAGAAAAACAAGGGCACCAAGGAAAAGGAGAGTTACCAAATTTAAGAAAGAGTATCTGTGTCTCTTTTTTTCTAAGGACTGAACCTAGGACCTTCTCACTGACTTATACCTCCACACTTATTATACTACGAGATAGGGTCTCAATAAGCTGCCCAGGCTGGGTTAGGACTTTTTTTTTTGGCTGTACTGGGGATTGAACTCAGGTCCTTGCACTTGCCAGGGAAAGGCTTATTCCATTGCGCAATCTCCCTAGCTAAAATTCTTTGTTTTTTAAAAAAATTTTTTGGGGGGTGCAGTTAGAACTTGTGATTTTCCTGCCTTGGGTTCCCAGAATGCTAGGATTATAGATGTGAGCCACCATGCCCAGGCAACAAATATTTTGAGACAGGATCTCACTATGCAGTTCAACCTGGCCTTGAACTCTATGTAGTCCAAGCTGGCCTTAAACTCACGGCAATCTTCCTAAGATTGTATGTATATGTCCAGAAAAACATTTGACTCTCCCTTTTCTTGCTCTTGGGCCAGTACCTCTCCATCTCTTCGACCCCTTCGGCCATGGGCAGCTGTTATAGTCTCCTCTTCTTCTTCTTCTTCTTCTTCCATGCCACTGGTTTCTTCCATGATTCTAGAACTGCGCCTCCGTCCCAGGCCTTCCTCTGGTCCTTCTACCTCAACCTCAGGCCGCCCAGTTCGCTTAGCCAGAGCAGTTTTCAGTCTTGAATAGATGGGCAGATTAAAAAAAAAAAACTGGTGAGGAACACCCTGCCCACAGCAGGAACACCTGGAGTTTCAACCACTGTTAAGGTCCCCAGTCCAGGGAAGGGGTTAAGGGCAAAAGTTGCAGGCAAAATGCTGGGCACGTTTCACCCTTTTTCCCTTCTCTCTTCTCTAGGTGCTGTCTTCTGTTCTGTTCCTACCTTCGGAGTCGGCCTTCAACAATCCACTTATTTTTCCTACAGCTGGACATACTCTCCAGGGTCTTGTCAATCTCACTGTAAGGGAATACACAATGGGATTTTGAGGTAGAAGCAGCAGCACAAGGGAAGAGAACTTTAAAAGGTATAAGAGTCTAGGGAGTTTCAGCCTAAAATCTACAGACAAGAAGAGACAAGCTTAAATATTCCCAAAAAGGGCACTAAAACTTAGTTCCAATTTACTGTGCCATCTCCAGAGCTCCAGGCAGCTATCACCCTGGAACTTCTGAATGGCAACCCCTCCTCCTCCGTCCCACTCTTAGCAAGGCACAGGACAACCATCCCCACCCCAGCCCCTCACTTGATGATGAGGGTGGAGCCATTGAGCTCATGCACAAGGAAGGCCAGGACAGCAGCTTTCTGCTGGGGTGGCTGGGCCTGAAAAGGCTGAGTACGTAGGCTGTCACAGAGGGTGGGCTCTACTCCGTAAGCCATGAGGAAGCAGCGCAGGATCTCCGACACATTGTCTCTTGTCAGTGGGATCTCACATACCTTCTCTCCCAAGATCTTTAGAGACTGTTTAGAAGAGAGAGTATAATAGGAGTGAGGAAACTAAGAGGAACAACTCAAACTGGGTGAACCTGCAAGAAAACTACGGGACTAAGACAAAAATAGGAAAAGAAGTTTCTAGAACAAGATGAAAGAAAAAAGGGGAAAAAAAAACTATGAACATAAGCTGCAGTGCTTATAGGGGACCTGGGAGGCTATGGCAGGGTTGTTACAAGTTTAAAGCCAGCCCAAACTATATAGTGAGACCCTACATAACAAAATAGAACAAAAAAAGATTAAGATAAAGGAAAATGAAACATGATAAAGTATCCAAAAGAAAAAAAAAAATAGAAAAATATAAAGAAAATAGAAATGGAAAGAAACAACAACTCCCTCACTTCTCATCATTGCAGAGTGTTCCTAAGTGTTCTTAAGAGAGAAAGTAAGGCGGACATAAAGCACTGCATCCCAAGTCTTCCTACCTGCCTGGGAAATCTCACCTGACAGTAGGAGGGTAACCCAGGATCATACAGTGCAGCTTTTAGGAGCCGTATCAACAGGTCTTGCACCTTGCCTAAGCTGTCACCTTGACACAGGAGTCCCTCCTGCAGGACCCCCAGGCTAGGCACATCTTTAGTAGGGTCAAAGCCTAGCACTTTGCCGAAGCTGTGCAGGAACTCCACAATGGTCAAGCAGTCGGAGAAAGCCCTACTGGGCAGTGTCAAGCCAGGGATGCGCTTAAACTCAGGAAGGGGCTGGAGGGATAAGAGTGGTAGAGTCTTGTTAAGATTTTGTAGAAGGCAAGCAACAGTAAGGCTTTCCATGAGGTCCTCACAAATGGCCCTTTATGACCCCTGAAGAGTTTTCTCCCCTCACTACCTGGTGATCAGTTAGACACATATCCTCTGTGGGCTTCTTCATCTCCTCCAAGATCATCTGCTGCCTCTGCCGTTCCTCCAGGCGTCTCTGGGTAGTCAGGGTCTTATCTGCTTTACAAGTTGGCTTGGCTTTGGTCACCTCATCCTTTTCCTTGATTTTTACCTTCTCTTTCTTTTCCTTCTTCACTCTTTCCTTCAGTTTTTCCTGTTTTATCTTTGTCTTTTCCTTCTCAGCCTACCCATCAAGGGAGAGAGTAAGCAGGAGAGACATAAAGGTAACACTCACCACCCTTCCTAGGTCTCAGTCCTTCCAGCTTCAGAGCCCAGAAACGAAACCAGCACACTTATTTTGCAAATTAGGTTTGGTGGCTTTAAAATTAGCCTGAGCAGGGCCAGGGATATAGCTCAGCAGCATAGCGCCTGCCTGGCAAACTCAAGGTCGAGTTCAATTCCCAATTTAAAAAAACCAAAAAAACAAAATTAGCCCCAGTGAGTGTACCTTACTGCGCCTACCTTTAGTTTCTTCTTGGCATCCTTCTGTTTTAAGCTCTTGGTCTCCGGTTTCCGCTTGCTTTTGGCCTATAAACCATAAAGGAAGTCATTTCTCCTCAAACTCTAAAAGCATCTCTGCTTGGGCAAGGATTAAAAAGGGGAGGAGAGGTGGGAGATAGGGAGATAGGATGAGGTGATGGCAATGGATTAATGCTATACCCTACAGATGCTTGCATTGTTCCTGAATAAGCCCAATTCTCTAAGTCAAGCCCAAGACAGTTCAGGGCAATGAGTGTGTGGTGCTTTGGCCGGGGGGAGGGGGGGAAATAGATGTGGGAGATGGACAAAGAGAAAGAAGTTCTAGCAAAAGCTAGCCCACTGATAGCCCTCACCTGCCCTTGAACAGGAACCTGACATTCTCCTCGTTGTACCTTCTGCTTCACCTTCTTTTTGCTTTTACTCATCTTTGCTTTATCTTCCTCAGTCAGTGTTTCTGTAAAGAAAAATAAGATGAGTGAAGCAGAAAGATAGGTCTCTGGCACCCCAGGCTGCTACAAAGTTGGCCTCTCACACAGCTCTTTGAAGAATGTAGAGAAGTCTTGTTTTTTGTTTTTTGAGGCAGGGACTTTGCTATGTATCTCCAGGCTAGCCTCCAACTGAGGAGATCCTCCTACTTCGACCTTCCTAGTGCTGTGATTATAGGCATGTGTCACCATGGCTGGCTTTTTAAAAAATTTCTGAGTTCTGGTACTAGGAGTTGAACATAGGCCCTACATACTCAGCTACATTTGCCAGTTCATTTTTTATTTTTTGTTTTGTGACAGGGTCTCACTCTGTACTTTACGTCAGTCTTGAAATCACACATAGCCCAGGTTGCCTTTAAACTCTCAATGACCCTCAAGCCTTAGCCTACTAAGTGGTGGAATTAACAGGCACGAGCCATAATGCCCAGCACAGTCCTTTTTTACTTTGAGACAAGGTCTCATTAAACTGCCAAATTGCCCAGGCTGGGCTCAAACTTTCTGTTCTTCTGCCTCTAGTTCCCAGAGTTATGAGACTACAGGGGTGTACCACACCTGTTTATTTTATTTTTAAGTATACATAATAAAGTACTGGGGGTTAGGCTGGGTGTGGTAGTGCATGCCTGTAATCCCAGCACTCAGGAGGCTGAGGCAGGAGGATCACTGTAAGTTTGAGACCAACCTGAGCTATAAAGTGAGCTCAAGGACAGATTAAACTGTATAGGGAGACCTTTTCTCAGAAAAACCAAAAATACTCAAATATACACACACAAAACAAAAAACCTGGGGGACATGAGTGGGCTACCTTTTTCCATGAGGGACATAAAGAACTCAGGATTTCCTGCCAAGAAACAGCAGCCCCTGACTCCAAATGGACTACTTTGGAAGTAGTCCAGCTAGTGGAAGAGAGGCCACAGCAACAGAGTAGCCTTGCAGCCTCTCAGACTAGGTGACAAATGCAGCAATAAATGGACTGATTTTGGTGCAGAAAGCTGAGAAAGGAGCCACAAAGCCAAACTGCTAGGGAAAGAGTGTTAGTTGATAGCAGGGCAGCTAACACACTTTATAGTCAGATTAACACCAACAAAGCTGTTGTTCATGCTCAGCTCTTATATCTTCTTGCGCCACTAAATAAATAAAATGAACAAACTGGATTTCTTTACTCTGGAAGACAAAATATTGAAGCAGAACTCTGTGTATTTTGTGATACATTTGACCTGACAATACCTATTCTTTTGTTTCTTATATAAATATATTATTATTCATCTATAATGCAATCCTCACACACATATGGGCAGATGAGCTACTTAAGACTTCTCTTAAAATATGACACTCAGGGGCTGGGGAGATAGCTCATCAGTCTAAGTACCTACCGGGAAAGTGCAAGGACCCAGGTTTGATCCCTGTACCACATGCCGTGCTGGCCATCAAAGCTGGAGTGGTAGTACACACCTTTAATCCCAGTGTTGGGGAGGCTGAGATAGTGAGACTTTGTACCAAATGAATAAACAAAATTTTTTAAAAAAGTGATACTCAGTTTGATGACACTATGTCTCTTTATAAATCTCTTGGTTTCTCCTGCTTTAAGTTTTTTGAACATATTGTATGTATAGATTCATGTATTTCATTAAATTGTGGAAGTCATACAACAATCATCATTAATTAGCTATTCCTGTTTTGAAAATCTGTAACATACGTATGATTATATGTTATCCTGTTTGTGTGGGTTTTTTTCTATTTGTTTTTCCTTCTGTTTTTACTCTTCAAAATAAAATAAAATTAAAAAAAAAAAAAAAAAAGTGACACTCAGGGGGCCGGGGAGATAGCTCAGTAGAATAAGCACTTGCCTGGCAAGCTCAAGGGCCTGAGTTCAGTCCCCAGTTCCACCAAAACAAAAATCAAAAAACAAAAACAAAAACTATTTTTGGGCCAGCCAAATAGCTCCCTCAGCAGATTAAAGTGGCAGACACTGGGGTCAGAGGTTTAATCCCTGGTCTGGCGTGCTGGCCCCGCCCCCAGGGCATGCTGAGATGACCACTGAGACTGGGTGTGGTGGTGCATGCCTGTAATCCCAGCGCTTGGGAAGCTGAAAACAGGAGAATCACTACAAGTCTGATCCGTGTAGTGAGACCCTGTACTAAATACAAAAAAAAAAATAAAATAAAAACCATTTCTGGGGCCAGGGAGATGAGTCAGTAGAATAAGTGCTTGCCTGGCAAGCGCAAAGGACTGAGTTCAATCCCTGGTTGGGGTGTGGGGAGTGACACCCAGCTAGACATGGTAGCACACACTATAATCCCCACACTCAGGAGGCTGAAGGAGGAGGAAATGCTGAGTGAGGAAGATAAAGCAAAGATCAGTAAAAGTAAACAGATACTGAGATAGAAAGTATGACCAAGTTTGAAGCCTGCCCAGACTGCATAGTAAGTTTCAAGGCTGAAATACACAGCGAGACTTTGTCTTAGGAAAAAAAAAAAAATATGAAACTTGTTCTATGTCACAGTCAGAAGACAGGAGAACGCTGAACAGGAAGAAAATAAAATTTGTTCACATTTTTACAGGATAAATGCGGTACTTTTGGAAAAAAACTTTTAAGACATACTCTACTGTCTATCCCACTAAAGTAGTACCAATTATCTTTTGAACTAAGGTGTGAATTTTGAATGTCCACAACAGTAGTCATAAGGAAGAGTGAACAAATGAAAGTATAAATAAGGAGCTGAAAAACAGGTAAGAAAAGACATAGAAATATAGAAATCCTCCCATCTGAAGAATATACATCTGACGACTAAAGGCTTCATTAGTAAGACCAACTCAAGGAAGAGTTGGTACTGCAAAGTGAGTATCCAAAGTGCTGGGACCCTAATGTTATCTTACAAGGAGGAGAAGCTGATAGAAATTCTTCCCAGATTTCAGTCACACTCCTGTGAAATCCAGATAGTAGCAATTTTAGTAACATTTCAGACACCTCGTGTAGGGAAAAGACTCTCAAAGTAAAAAACGCTACTCTACCTTGGGCCTCCAGTTTCTTTGGGAGACGGTTGTCTGTCTTATTCAACAGCTCAGGGGTTCTGACCTTGGGTGGCCGACCTCGGCCCCGTTTCACCTTGGGGACTTCCTTGGTCTTTGCTTTCTCATTGTTTCGAGGTCGACCCCGTTTGCCAGTAATTGCTTGAATCCTGGATGGAATCTCTTCTGCTGAGAGTTGAACCCATCGCAAGCCCTAAGGTAGGAGGAAGATTATGTTACAGTGCAGACCATTAGACTCTCTAAACCATTTAAGGCTCCCAGAACTTCTAAACTCCACAAGAGGCTGATGCTTGCCCATCAGCTCTTTCAGGGATCAAAACATATTTAACCCTTAGGCCAGCACCTCTGGTGTGTCTCTCTCTTCAAAGAAATCTCCAACAGGCATACGAGGGCTGAAGCTGAAGTGCTCACGGCGCACACTGTGTACCACATTGCGGCTCAGGTACTAAAAGAAGGAAGTTGATCAACATTAATGAGTCTTAATGTCTTTGGACAATAGTCTCCAGAGTACACAATGTCGACCTGTGTCACAGCACTCAAAGACAAGTGTGTGCTACCTTTAAACACACCCACAGGGCCAGGGAGATAGCTCAGCAGTTTAAGCGCCTGCCTGCAAGCACAAGGACCCGGGTTTAATCACTGGTACAACATGATGTGCTGGCCCCAGAACCGTGGGGCACACCAAGCCAACCGCCAAAATCAGGCATGGTGGCACAGGCCTATAATCTCAGCACTGGGGAGACTGAGACAGGAGAATCACTATGAGTCTGAGCTGTATAGCGAGACCCTGTACCAAATAAATAAATACATAAAAACATTCATAAAAGACTGTTATTACCTTGATCACTTCTGGAAACTGTTTCATCCTCTTTCCACAGGGGCCATAATACCAGGTCTCCCCCTGCCATCGATGGCTGCCCTTCTTGATGCGCACTTCTCTCCGCCACCTGCCAGAGAAGCACATGGGCCCTGCCCCCAGGTCACACTCCTACCCACTTCCAAACCACCCAGGAGCCAAGCCCACTGAGCAAATGACCCTCCTGTATCTGTCTCACTACTACTACATGCAGCTGTGAAGGCAGAATAAGAGATGAACTTGACTAAAAAGACAACCTGAGCTCCCACAAATGGCTTAGGAGGAAAGCAATATAACCGCACAAGCCTAAAAAGACCTCTACCTACAAAATCTGTGAGATGAACAGTCAGAAAGCCCTTCCTAATATTTAGGGTAATTTTTACTGAATCGTCAGTAAACAAGAAAAAGACAGGGCCAGGGAGATAGCTCAGTAGAATAAGTGCTTGCCTGGCAAGTGC